AACATGGAGGTGCCCGAAGGGTTGTTCTCCGGCACGTAGATGCTGTACAAAGGTCTCTCAAAGGCCGGGGCATTGTCGTTGACATCGGACACCTGTAGTGAGATGCTCTTGTGTGTGGAGAGAGGGGGGGTCCCTGCATCCAAGGCTGTGACTGTAATGTTGTACTCAGGAGTCCGTTCTCTGTCCAGGGGACCGTCTGACAGCAGCTTGTAGTAATTACTAGAAAAGGGAAGAAGCTTAAAGGGTAGATCGTCTTGTAAATGACAAATAACCTTTCCATTGTCACCAGAATCCTTGTCACTCACACTAATGAGAGCAATCAGGGTTCCAGAAGGAGAATCTTCTGGGACCGGGCTGAAAACAGAAGCTAACGTGACTGCTGGGGCATTGTCATTCTCATCAATAGCAGTCACTTCAATGTTGCAGTGGGCCTTCAGTCCTCCTCCATCCTTTGCATCTACTGTCATGGTATACTCTTTTGTTTCCTCAAAGTCCAGCAGTCCAATAAGAGTAACTATTCCACTAACTGCGTCCAGACTGAATTTCCTTTGACTTTTCTCTGGTATGTTGCTGAATTCATACCGGATCTGGGCATTTGTACCAGCATCTTTATCAGAGGCCACAACCTCGAGCACCTGGGACCCGACAGGAGCATTTTCCTTCAGACTGACCCTGTAGACGTCCTGGCTGAAGACGGGTGGGTTGTCGTTGGCATCGGTGATGTTGATACGGATTTGGGCAGTCCCGGTTTTCCTCGGCTCACCCCCATCGAGGGCAGTGAGGATCAAGTGCAGAGTTTGTTCACTTTCTCGATCGAGCGGTTTCTGCAGCACCAGTTCTGCATATTTGCTGCCATCTTTTCTCTCTCGCACTTCTAGGGTGAAGTACTGATTGGAGCTCAGCTGGTAGTCCTGGAGAGAATTTGCCCCAATATCTGGATCTTCAGCCTCCCCAAGGAGAAATCGGGTGCCTGGTGAAGTGGATTCAATGATCTCCAAGTTGATGTTGCCATTGACAAATTGGGGCGCATTATCATTGATGTCCTGGACTGCCACTCTGACATGGAAAACATTCAGAGGGTTTTCAATGACCACCTCAACATTAACAGTGCAAAGGGGAAGCGCCTCACACAGTTCCTCCCTGTCTATCCTTTCACTCACATACAGGTCTCCACGCTCTGCATTGATGCTGAAAAACTGCATTCTAGCTTGGGGGATGGCATGCAGGTTGCGCTTTGGCAGCTCCCTGGCATTCAGCCCCAGGTCCTTGGCCAGGCTGCCCACCACGGAGCCCTTCTCCATTTCCTCCGGGATGGAATAGCGGACCTGCTCCGAGGCAGCCCAGCAGGAGAACAGCGGCAGCAGCAGCAGCAGCAGCCGTACCTGCCCGGCCAGCGCCTGCCCATCCTCTCCTTCCCGTCTGTCCATCTGTCTTTTGGAAAAAGGGGCTGGCCTCTCTTTTGCTGCCTGTAGTGATCAGATCAAATTCTCTACAGGATTGAGAATCTCTCTAGGTAAAAATACGCTACCTTTCCTCTTCGTGCAGATTCCAACTCTCCCGTCTCTTCTTTCTCCAGCAAGCCAGCTGCGTGATCCGCTGTGTGCCTGATTCAAGCAGCGCTTCTGAAACTGTCTCCCCGCAGAAGAAAGATCACCGGAACACCAGCCTTTCTTTGGGTACCACATTGGCCAACAGTGACACTCAGAGGCTCAGAGAAAGAACTGCAGGGGATGCTTTCTCCTACTCAGCACAGAAATCCAGCTCAGCAAGGTCTTGTTAAAGAAATTAGCAGAGGGCCAGAGTCAAATATACGGGAAGACTCTCCCTGTAACTATTATTTGATTTACTCATAGCAGTCCTGGAGGTCAGTGCCATGGAATTGCTTCAGTAACTTTGATGAGGACTTCCAAAATCTGCATTTTGATGATGATTCAGTCAGGACAAAATGTCATGGAGCCCAGCTCCCGAAAGCACGATCCCAGCACCAGCATCCTGCTGGTTTTGATTTCCAGCTTCTCTGACTGAGGGAAATGGAGAAGTTGTTTTGGTTACATCTGTGATTTCCGGTTTGACTACAGAAGGACAGTCTTTTCTCAATCAGAAATTTGTTAGATGTTTTTCAGCCTGATCACAGACATTTCTGCTGGGCTTGAATATTTTTTCACAGATTGAAAAAGTTGTGCCCTTTACTTACAGGGGATGCAAATCTGATGGCAGAAGCAGCATCCCTCTTCCTCTCCATCCCCCTTAACACACACGCACAAGAGGGAGGGCGGGCTCCCAGTGAAGCAACGCACGTGAAACGAGCGCATCAGCTTAGAAGCATCTCCACCCTCGGGAAAGTCACAATGAGACAGCAATGCACTGCATGGTCAGTCTCTTTAGGTGTCGCAGGTGGCGGAGAAGGAGCGAACGCAGCATTTCAGCTCTTGGCGTGAATTCAGACCAAGGGGATAGGAAGGTGTGGCGTTCCAACCTCGTCGAGCTCTCTCTGTCCGCAGCCGCGGAAGGCTTCACGCAAGCACCTGTCTCTGTTCCAGCAGGGATGGGAAGGAACCGTGCCTGGCCAGGTGGCCCATGTGCACGCCAGAGTGCAGGCCTGCTTCCCCACAGGCAGCGCTCGCCTGCCCCCGGCCTCCTGGGGGGCTTGGGCGACGGGACGGTTGGAGCGACAGCCGGAGAGCCGCGGGCCAAAGAACTTTTTATTTGCTATCATTCTCATCGCATTTTCTAGAAATGGAATCGAAATAGCATGCAAATGTCAGAAACAATCATAGAAATATTAAAACAACAAACACTGATCTTAAAAATACAACAAAGTAGCCCAAGAATAATCAGAAGAGCACAGGAATGGTACGTAAAATGCCTCCTGGGAAAACAATTTTTGGAGCCCACCTGAAACGTGGGAAACATAGGATTCTTTCCGGGGATGAGATCCTAGAGCTGTGGAGCTACTGCTGAGAAAGGCTGTTCCCGGCCTCTGCTGAATGAATTTCCAGTGAAAATGGACCGGAGAGAAGGGACCTCGAAGCTGATATCAAAGCTTGGATGGGTTTATATGGGCAAAGGCAGGTCTGAGGACTTGAAGCCCAGAAAAGGAAGTGGTGATGAATGAAGTTGGTGTAAGATGTGCACAAGCTGGTGTGTGCACCAAGAAATGTTCCAGTGGCTCCACGTGGTGCCAACTTCAGATTCCAAACAGGTTTAAAGACTCAGCAAGGCAGAGAGCATCACGCTGATTTAGTACAGATCCCTTTGCACGTAAATAATGCCAGGTGCACTTTTCCTAGGCAAGGTTGCGGCCAGAAGACCAGGGAAATCTTGCGTTAAGGTTCTCCTTTGGTGTCCACTCCAGGGATAACCCTGAGTCTGGAGCTGCCAAGTAATGCGTTGCTTCCGAGCATGAGTGTGGCGGTCTCCAGAACAGAGTGCGGTGGTCTCCAGGAAGGCAGGACGCGCTCCAACGGAGCCAAGCTCAGGGAACCGAGGTTCCATTTGGATGCCAGGAAGCACTTCCTGGCAGTCAGGACCCCGAGGGTGTGGGATGGGCTTCCACGAGAGGTCGTTGAGGCCCCATCGGTGCGGGTGGTCAAGGACAGGCTGGACGTGCACATGGTGGGCATGTCGTGAGCGGAGCCGGCTGGAGCCGGGGGTCAGACTAGATGGCCCGGCAGACCCCTTCTGAATCGCTCTGTTTCTATGTTTCTATGGTTCTGCACCTTCACCCTGATCAACAGCACCCCCCCCCCCCCAGTGGCTAAGTCAGTCCGCTTGCCACCCTGCAGCCCCTGGCCCCAGGCACTGCCCCCACTTCCACCCCCAGGGTCCACCACCCACCAGACCGAGAGATGGAAATGGCAGGTGACTCTAGCAGGACCTCCAGATGGCCCCTCCCTGCCATTTTGTGCTGCTGCTGAAAAGCGTGTGGGGTGAGATGGGGTCTGAAGGACACATTGGGGTGCGGGAGAGGCCATTGCAGGAGCTTCTTGGTCAAGTGGGCCTTTGCGCCCAGGTCTTCTTGGCCCAACACTGACCCTTGGTTCTAGGAGACGCGGCCTCTCGGACCCACCATAGCTACGTAGCATCAGGACACACATCTTGCTGCTGTCTGTGCTTCCGCTGAATGTGATCCATTCATTCTTGAGACACTTCTAGGCATTTTCTCCCTTATCTTCTCTTAAAGTTAAGCTGAAATTGCAACACATGAGGAAAGGAAATATTTGCTCACTGGAGCTTCTATCCAAAGGCAAGTTCCTTTGCATGTGAGTTTATTACTAGAGAATGCAGGAGGAAGCATGATTGGCACCCACTGCTCAGTCCACACGAACACGCTCATCCTTTGATGACTGACGCCCCCGCAACGCCTTGCACTTGCGAACGGAACACCACAGGCAGGATTGTCATGAGATCTGAAATCACAGGTCTTCAGAACTCATATCTAGCCAACGGGTCAACCACCAAGCCAGTAAGGTGGCAGGTGATGTACATGAGTGTACAAATCAGCTCTGGAGTCGATATCCAGAGCGTAGAAGTATATAATTTAATGTGTTTAAGAAAGCATACGTGCACATGAAAATGAAAGATGTCCTATGACAAATAAAAACTTTTAGTTCTTTTTATTATGACCGATCTTCTACTGTTTCAAACTCCTGAAATGCTTCAGGCTTTATAAAACATAGCCTTCTGGTCTATCCTCAGATGTAGCTTTCTTGGTTTGCTATTAAAAAAATAAAGATTAAAAAAGCCAAGAAGAACCACTGGACTTTGTTCCTAGAAGAACAACAATAGCTTGATCCATTCTTCCATGACAAATATGCTTGAAAGGTTTGATCTGGAAGTGCTTGAAGATTATATCCTCTTACCGAACATTTCACTTGGCTATGGAAATGTCACTTTTACATAAAATGCCCATAATAATTCTAAAATACATTTTTAAAATTGTTGGATCCAGTGTATATTAGCCAAACTTATTTTTTCCATTGAAATTAATGTGGCTTTAATTAGTCATGACTTATTTAACAGATTAAATCTAACTAGTTTACTCTAAGTCCAAGCTAATTTGTAAATTCACCTGATCGTTGCCAAATGTCTAAAGTAATCTAGTGCATCCCCATATAAAACAATAGGACTAATATACACAGTCAATGTTAATACAAATTGGAACCAATATCAGAGTATCGTTAAGATTTTAAAACAAAGGTAGCAATTTCAATCTCACGGAGGTAGTACCAGACTGGTACCACTTCAAACTGAGCATGGGGGTCCCATGATGTGCAATTCATCTCTACAAAACTAACTTCAGAAATCATCCCACACAGGAAATAATTTGTTATCAAGGAAGATTCTAGCCCACACTTTCTGCCCGATATGCTAATTTTCTGTGTACAGGAATCTGTTGCTATAAGTAGTAATTAAATATTGAATTACATGTGCTCAAGTCTACAGTCCCGAGTAGAGGAGCTCAGACAGATGGACATTCACTGCCTCAGTGGCCAGAATGGTGTGGAACTGATGGGGTCCCATCACATGGCTCAGCTGATGGGTTCCAGCCACAGCGAAGGTCTGTCACTGTATGTTGGGTCATTTCCAACCAGGTCAGGAGAAGGCCCACCCGTCTCCCTCCCTCAGGGGCGTGTGGCTGGAAAGAACATGCGAGAATGAGGCCTGCACTGAACTTTGGAAGAGGCAAATATGTACAAGTTTTTTCCAAGCTGACTTGTGCTTCAGCACAACACAATATTTTATTTTTCTTATCAAGGAAATAAGAAAATCACTGCCCTGGGTCTCCTGTAAGTTCTTTACATAAGCAGAAGAAATTTTATTTCTAGGAAAACATGTTGTCCACATGTGTGTGAACCTGGGGCAAAGAAATCTCCAGCACCAAAAACTGGAAGGTAAAAGTTGAGTATAACTGAGAATTACGTTCCCAGTCTTGAGAGCAGAC